TACCAGGACGGCACACTCAAGGCACGCCTGTACGACTTCGTGGTGACTGACAGAGCTAAGCATCTTGCTGAAGCTGGGGAGAATGTTGAACTAACAGTAAAAATTGAGGAAGAAGAATACGAGAGAGCTTGCAGTGATCTAAATAATGAAGCCAAAGGTAACTAAGCCAAAGGTACTCAGTTTTCACTTTGTCTTCAAATAAGTGTTCCGACCCTTAACTAACCATGACCCGTTGTGATGAACACTGGACGGAAAAATAGATTTGCCTGGGTTGCAAATGTTGAGCAAATATCAAACAAATTTCTCTTTTGCCTAATTTCGCTCATTTTTGCTCAGTGGTAAAGATAATCTTTGCACCATGTTTGCTTACGTGCTAAATGTTGGGCGCTGTTATGCAGCTGACCTTACTTTACGCACCTCGCAAATATGTGGTCAAATTTATCTTTATGCCGATGGTTTTCTGAGGTAGCAAAATGGGTGCAAACTTTGAACAGCATACAAGTTTGTTTAGGTAAGCTGGGTACGTGGGTAAAGCATCGATGTTTATTCAGATTTACTCTGAATTGTTTATCTAAATGAGTATTCGATCTGTGGCCATGCTTCGGGGATGCTCTTCAATTATTGTGTTGAGGACTCCATACGTTTGAAGAACCTTTTGCTGCTGATCTTGTCGATCTTCTTTCAGATCTTAAACAAATCAGTTCTTTATGGCTGGTTGTTTTTCTGAGCTTCGAGCGGTCTTTGCAAACTGATCCGTGACTTAGCATTGATTCAAACAAGAAAAGCGAGTGCCGTAAAGCAGCATGAAGGCTTTATAAGTCTTCCTTCCAGCTTCCTAGATCTTTTGAGCTTCGCATGTTCAGTTTCATATCCTGTAAAGAACGGCAATAGTTTTCTATCGAAGAACCTGAAAAAAACAGGCGTTCGATCGGTTAAAGATGTGCAAAAGGTCAATGATTAAAGTCTGTAGCTACTCAATGAACAGGACGAGGGCATCGTTACCGCTGACCAGCAATATTGGGGCTCAAACGGTTTTCTTGTGCTCATTCAGGCGGGATAGGAAAGGAAAGGCATAGTGAATATAAACAAGATCAGCGAGAGTGCCTGAGGATGCATGTTTCTCTGCATATTTCTCAAGCGGCCTTGAATTTACTATTTGCGACACAAAGATCTTAGTCAGATCACCCCTAATGAAGGCACTAAACAGGACCGTCGCAAAGTTGGGTCTGTGAATTGTAACTTAACGGTAACATTCATTAAATCTTTAAGCCAGAGTAGCATCAAACCATGTCAGCCCATATCAGTTTCAGACAGAACCATGTTTCGGAGCAACCAATAAAATCAAACTTGCATAAAACGAAATCCAGAAGATTGCAACTTTGTTCGAAATATTCATTCAAGCTTCTCGTATTTAAGTGAATAGCCGAGTATCGAGGTTTGACAGTACACGGGATAACTCATCAATTTCTTCTTTGATTTTAAGTTAGAAAGTTGTGGAAGGGTGATCTAAGACGCGAAAACACTCATCAGAACATAGAGTGCGACATTGTGGAGAATTATGTAAATGTTTGAAAATGTGAGAGGTCCTATCACTGACCAAGTGCTCACGTAAATGTGTGAATAAATGCCGAGAGGTTTCGCTGACATAGCAGGCATTACAGCCCGCAGATAAAAACTTGTAAACCGTACACGTACGGAGCCCACAAGGGATAGGGTCTTTCACACCAAACATATTACCTGTCTTAAAAGATGAAAAACAAGTCTGATCATAGCAGACTAAAAACAACAAAATTTATTGCCAGCAGCAACTAAACTATTCTATAAAAATATCAGTTTTGTGGTGGCTCAGAACTTTTCGGTCAGTTTTTAAGAAATTTTGGGTCAGAATCTGTGGAGAACTGCTTACTGTTACGATCAACATAAGCACACTGAGCTTAAACACAACTCAACAACTTTAATGGCGGCTGACCGAAAGACCGCGAGGTCTGACTACAAAACAATGAGTCACGTAATACAAGAATATATGCTAATTTATGCAGTATCAACTTTCTGGAATGTAATATTTTAGTGACTGGCATTACAGTTTGCTAGTGACGGCTATTGCCAATTCTTGTACTTATGCAGTACCTTGATATGGGTGACCAAAGTATAATATGTAAGAAAGGCGGATACATCAACTGCTTGGTTAGTTGGCTGAAAGCTTATGGTCTGTAATAATGTACATTTAATTTGACGAAGAGATGAATTTTCAAAATGAGATCTTAAGGAATGGTATAGTTTTTCCTGAAATTGCTTTTATGTACAGTGAATATGAAATCAAGTTGCTTAGTACTAAGTATGAGGTTATGTTTTAGTTGACCTTAACATCGATTAGAAATTGTCGTACTAGTTGTTGCTGATTTTTTCAGAAACAACTCATATTTTTAAAACTATGTAAGACTGAGTGTTAATGTTAAAGGATGTTACTTGTGAAGCTATTTTTATGATGCTTTTTCTGGGGATTGACTGAAGACGAGTTTTAAACTAAATGAAGACAAATGTGAAATAATAAATTGGATGGTTGAGGCTTTAGTTAAGGTATGCCCACATGGGGTAAGTGATATGTTTACTCACTTGATTTTTTTTCTGTTCAGGTCACTTACTAGTTCAATCCTGAAATATCTAAGCGATCTTCGCAGTTATGAACACTACTTAAGTAGTACTGAAATTAAGACCTAAAAAAATTCAGGTCTTTTCTGGAGTTGAACTCATGACCTCTGCGTTACTGGTGCAGCGATCTACCAACTGAGCTAACAAGCCAACTAGGAGCCAGTCATTATGTTGGCTCCAAGTAAACCCTCAAAGGGGTGAATAAATGACTTTAAATATATGAAAACAATATGTGTGAACTGCTGTTGAAGAAACGAATACCAGGGAAGCGATCCTCGCAATTATGAACACTACTTAAGTAGTGAAAATAAGGCCCGAAAAAAAGAATCAGGCCTGTACAGGATTTGAACCCATGACCTCCTTATTTTCACTACTACTTAAGTAGTGTTCATAACTGCGAGGACCGCTTCCGTATTCGTTTCTTCAACCACAGTTCACATATATGATTTTCATATATTTACAGTCCTGAAATTTGTATTCCCAACACTTGAAAAACGTTTTGAATATTTATCTCCTGTTGGATCTTCTGTGATGACTGACCCAGAAGAGAGAATTGATGGTCAGTAACACAGAATGGAGATGCATCTGGAAATGAGTTATTTTAACAACATCCATTGACGGCAGCTTTATTTGTATAATAAACTGCCCATGTATAGTGGACATGTATTTGTGCAGTCCATGCAGATACTAATAACTTGGTTTTACAATTTGAGATGCACTACTGTACACAAACTTACAAGTAGCACTAAATAGTATTCAAGTAGACTCTGTTAATTTGTTGAAGGAATCTACAGACTAATTAACTAGATTTTATTCAGTTAACTACCCAAAGAAATAAATTGGAATTAATGGATGTACCAAAACTCTTTTCATAATCAGCCGCTACATGGTGTGGTTTTTTTCATGCAGTGAACAGCTTCCTCTTTCCTTAAGGAATCATATCCAATTGTAGCATCAAACAAAACAATAACTTCAATATTGTATTAGCCCTCTTTAGAAGTGGTGGTGAAGAGATTCCAGAGGCCAGTGGGCAAGTGCAACAACTAACAATTCAAGAAGAAGATGGCGAAGAGTTAGAAAGTGAGCAGGAACAAGAACCAGATAGGATAAAGATACACGAGTGAGTGGAAATGAATGAGTTGCCAGTAATCAGATCCTTGTGTTTGCGAAAAGATTTCTAGGATCGTTACAGGCAAACACTGCAAGTTGTTATAAGGAAATATATGGCCGAAGGCTGTTTCGACGTCCAAAAAAAGAAAAAGAACAAGTTAGGAGAGATATCGATGCTTTTTCGCCGCATTATTATCATAAATGGATTGGATTATGCTGACGTCTGAAAGGAGAGAAGTCTTCGTCAGCGGAGAAGGAAATCATTTTTACCAAGCTATTGCTCTTTGGAAGGATGAAGTAAGCGATGAAAAACATGAGGAAACCCCTTGGTCAAGTGACAGTTTGTTTGAGAAAAATTCAAAGTTTCTAAAACAGTAGCAGAATAGCGATAATCTTCCTCCAAAATCGATTTTTCAGAAGTCGAAACAACCTTTCGCTTTACATTTCTTTCTAGCGAGTTGCAATTTGCCCCGTGGCGATCCTCGAAATTTCTGCGCAAACACAAGGATACGATTATTTACAAGAAATGACCTATGTGGCCCTGTGGGTTATCATTGGAAAAAAGACACGTAAAAATCGTTGTTTGAGGGCCGTAAGCAATTTCAGGTATAGGGCCTGAGAAAGCTGTACGTCCGCCCCAGTTGTGAGCTGAAAGAAGAAAGTAAGAAAGGGAAAGATTGGCAGTTACATGTCATGCCAAACTACGTACTGCCGGCTTAGGTCGCACCAGACGGCTAAATTGTTGGCTCCTGGGAACGAAACAAGTTTGGACTCGTAACAAATTGAACTTATTTTTCTTAGTGTGTTTTTGCGTTTAGGACAAATGGCTACATTCTTCACCCTTTAATTCCAAGATCCCATTAGTAATTCTCCTAACTGTCTGCTATATAGTTCCTGTGATGTTAGTTTAGAGAATTTGGTATTGGATCAACTAATAACCCCCTAATTAACATTTTCCTTCATTCTCATCACTTGTCTGCTTGATATTGTATTGTCATCGTAAGAACAAATTCTTTCCCGGTCATTCATGGGAATTAAAGGGTTAAAGAGCGTCTTAAGGGGGAATTTTTCCAAATTTTGCTGGATTAGATATACCGGACCTGAGCTTGGCAGTCAGCGTGCAATCCAGGAATTTTGACGAAAAAACTGAACCAAAATGAAGACGGTGTTGATACCATTGTGCATTACAATCGAGTGAAAATTCTCTTTTCTATCTAGGTGATTCCATTCTCATTCATGGCATTGTGATTATTTGCAGAGGAACACTCACTAGCAAGGACGTGCATTGGAACATCAAGCTAGGGGCTGTACACCTAGCCTTCCCCCGTGATGCTGTATCTGAGCCCACCCTGATAACGGTCCATCGATGGAAACCCACGGTGCTGTCCCCGCCTTTGCAGGAGCACGAGGCTCTCGTCAGCAACGTGATTGAGATTTCCTCCAACAGTCAGGAAGCTTTCAAATTTGAAGCTGAAGTTAAGATGTCATTCACTCACAGTTCTCCCGGCCTACACGGCTACGAGTTGGTGTTGTACAAACGGAATGACAACGAGACTGGTGCATGGAAAGAAGTGACCGATGTGGAAGATTTCAAAACTATCTCAGGTTGGATGAAAAGCCTTCAAATGTGTTAATGTTAAATTACGGATAAAGAAACTTGATATTGAGGGTTTTGGTCGAATATGGGTGGATCTGCGAGAGAATCTGCTCCCAGGAATATCTTAACGGAGGGTAGCAAAAGGGTGGGGTAGGGGGGGGGGCTCTAATCCCATTTCACGAATAAATTTTAGTAAAATTCAGGCTTCACGTATATAGAGGGAAAACTTCAAATCTCTCTTCTTGTGTACAAAGTTTCAAGGAAATCTTGAGGTTTTCACGAAATGAAGGAAAAAAAGCACGGAATACGTATATTTCAGGAGGCAAATCACGCCTCACGCTGGTTCATAATTTCGCGAATCACGCTCGCCTTTTCCAGTAAAATTCACGTGTCGCATATCAATTTTGTCCCTAAGTACGAGTCACGTTTAAATACTTTTCCTCCCGCTAAACGTGGCTCACGAGTATGCTAGATTGTTTTAAAAGTTGCTAGTTGCCAAGCCACGCATACTTCAGTACTAGTGCAGCCAAATATTATTCGACTGGTAACAGTCAAAGTTGGTGCTGTTAGCCTTACGGTGAACACGGAATAAATATTTACGCGCTAAAATACTGTGGAGACATTTTTCAGAGCGACTCTTAATAATGGTGGACCACAAAGAAAGAATTCGATGGGTAGCTTTCCTTGTATTGCTTGGTCAAGACTCTTTTGGATCGTTCACCCAGGTTTACACTTGAATGAGCTCTGTTACCTAAAAATTAACTTAAACTATATTTTATTTGTTCTCTGCTTTATTGATATAGATTTTGAAGAAGAATATCAATCCAGCCAAGATATTCCCAACCTACACTTTCCTGTTGTGCAAGCGGATATAACAGAATGTGCCACATATGCAGTAGTGAGTCGTCTCCGTCTTTCCCCTGAATTCACGATTACATCAAATGGCGGTTCCTTTGCCCTGCCTAAATATCCAAGTATAAGTGTTACTATCCCGGAAAATGCTGTTACTTCGAAAACAAGGATTCCTCTTCGACTGAAGGTACAGAATTTTCCTGAAATATAACAGATGCGAGGGGCATCTAGTTTCGTTACAGTAAACGTTCGTGATTGTTTATCTTTAAGAACTGGTGGTGGAAGTGTCGAGTCGTTTGACGAGCGAAGTCCTAATGACAAGAATCGGTAAATTTTGGGACTAAGACGTTTTGTTTCCTGAAAATTTACTTCTTACCTTCTGTTTGTTGCTTGAGTCTGTCTTCCACTGTTGGAGGTCTGTGCAACACGTAAATACTAAATTTGAAAATAAAGGTGGAGAAAATTCTCCTCTTTTCCATTTTACTTTACCGCAACGTAACTTGTTCTTTACCGTAATGAATCCTTGGATTTACTCCTTTCGACATAATTTCTCTTTAGGTGCAAGAAGTACCACGTGAAGAGTTTGAGGCTAACGAAATACTTATTGGACCTATACTACGAATAGTTTGCCACAAACCGATTGAGTTCTTGAAGCCTGTTACCATTACGCTGCCAGTTTCTTTGGGAGACGCGCGGCATGACTCCCCTGATCCAACGGCATGCCGGGTAAGAATATTGTTTCTGAGTTCTGATGGTGAACAGAAGGAATGGAGGGAAATCACTGAAGATTTGAAGAAACCAGTGACGTTTGACGGGACGACAGTCAAATTCGAGGTGGAACGCTTCTCTGGGTACGTTTGTTTATTCATTGCGCTAAATGCATATGTGGCCAGTTTCCAAAGCGTGGCAGGCCCTCGAACATGTGAACCCCTAATTAGGGGTATTTCTGAACGTGTATATCAAGGAAATAAACTGCTATTTTCCTGTTGATAATTAGAATGTGGTAATCTCAGAACTTTTTTCGATCAACTTTTAGACTAGGTTAAGAAAATATCGAAGTGAGGATGATTCATCAAGCAAGCTCTGTGGACATATTAACTGATAGAGAATAGGAGTTTTAGCATGTATCTGATTCCGAATGAATAAGGTATTGGAACTCCGAACTGAGCCAAGGGATCTGCATTTTTCCCCCCTCGAATGTAAAGACAAGCAAACGATAGAAAAAGTTGGACAAAACTCTAAGTATTAGATCTACTTTATGAAAGGAAACCCTATCTCGCGTATTACCATCGTGATACTGTCTTTTGCACCTTTCATACCCTCCTCTAAACAAAGGAAAAGGCACTCTCTTCTTAACTCAATTTTCTTATCTACTGTTATTTGGGCAGACAATGCTGAAATCCCAAACAACGGCTGCCAAGGAGAGGAATGTACCTGCAGATCCGATCTGGTGCTAAGATTAATTGCAGTTTAAATACAGTTCTTCGACTTTCATTACAGGTATTCGTGTTTGATTGACTGGCTTGCAGATAGCTTCAGTTATCAAGGCGTTATCGGATATTTGTCGAGCCTTATTTGGACCCAACCTCAGCTGGCAGTGTTCTTCGCCTACTTCCCTCCCGAAGACCGCCCTGATTCTCAAGACATCTTGCACCTAATTTGCTGCCCGTATCAACTTAGAGAAAAGGTGCGGGATGAAATTAAGAATCAGGCTAATGTGCCCACTCCGAGCGATTCAAGTTCCCACATCAAGATGATTCCTGGGCGTGATAAAGCATACGTCTCCCTCAAAAAAGGAATCCGAGCGATTGAGGAAGTTGACATGGAGGAATTTTATCTCCAGTAAGTTTTTAGATACGCTTCACTGAGAAAAACCTTCTGTATGCTATCAGTCTGAAGTTTTTTTACTAGTAGGTTTTCATTAAATAATTCCAAGAAGGCCGGAAACGTAGGGATTTTGTTTAATCAAATTTAAAACAACAATCAGCAGAAAATCAAAGTTAAGCTGTTATTGATAGAATTTAACTCAAACTTTGACTTCATAAATTTGGTGTCTTTCTGATATAGATTGCAGATGCTATAGAAATCGGGCATTGAGGAGTGGAACCCGGGGAAATGATTAAATTCTAATGCAGATTACCGCTGTACATTCGCTCCCCATTCCCCGTTTCCAGTTCCTCTTTCGACGTTTTGATAACATCCGTGCTATTTCCTTCTGTAGAAAAACGGAAACGATTCTTGCTAATAAATACATCCTTTTTCGTGCTGATGAGAATTATTTTCGACAGGTTTATAAGTGATGAGCTCCATAAAGTTCAGGTTCCAATCCGTGTTATTGATGACAGAGGACTTTCAGGGGTGGAGTTTTTCAAAACACCGAAGTTTGAAAAAAGTACTCTGCTGTGTCAATTGTATTTTCGATTATCGCCTCTCAAGAGAAAGCTGAACGTAAGAGGTTTATTTGTAACTTCCTTGGTACACTTTGTCACTGCCTTTTTGATTGCTGTATAATTTTTGAACGTGTTTTTTAATATAATTCCTTTCCGTTCAACGATATTGAGGATGAAATTAGCAAAATTCCGATCAACAGTACGGTAGAGTGTATATCCAAAGCTGACATTTTTCAGGGGACAGTTTTGCGTGTTGATGAAATAGAGAAGAAAAAAAAAAAAAAATAAGGAAAGGAAAGGAAATTCAATACGATCACGTAACATTTCAGATGGATTTTATCATACATGTATAAAGAATACAGGGCGGAATTCGTAGAAAATAAACATATGCGCCCTGAGAATCAAAAATGTAGATTTTTACAAATCTAAATGGGAACTCGTTACTTTTAATGTGATTTTAGCGAACCCCAGTGGAGTTTTTTGGTATTCCTGTCAATGATGAAGTCTTGTCAAATCCGCGTCCTGAGCATGTTCTTCAGATTGGAAGACAATTCGTTGGTTCAAAGGTGTATGACGATCTCCTTTCCCGCTTCATCAAAGGCAATATAAATCAGAAGCAGACAATACAAAGCTTCTATGAGGCTCTTGCAGGATTGAAAATCGAGATCCAAGATAAGTGCTTTGAAGCCCTTGTCAAGGAACTGAGTAACTGTAATGAATACGGATTTGTGGTGGATCGACTTCAAGAAGGTAACGACTTTAAAAGCTCAAGCAGTTTGCATTTGAGTGTGAAAAGTAATCCAAGATTAGTTTCGTTTCGTTTTACTTCTCTTTGTAATTGGTTCCGAAAACTGGTGCCACTTTTTCTAATTCAACTGACCAATATCAAAAGTGAGACCATTCGCGATTTTGTCGCTCGCGTTTCTCCACGCTATGAGCGGTTTACTTGTTCTAACTTTAATAAGCTCCTGGTACTATTTTTCTCTGATCGGCGGTTGTGATATAAATTTGGTTTAGGTTTCATGACACTCATTTGAATTGAGCTCTAAAGGATGATGGGTTCACCTGTCCACACATAACCTTTACTCTTATAAGTTATTAACGTCTTAATTTTCCTCACTGTGTTCATACATTGTCTGGAGTTTAGGTGAAGAAAATTGACGAACTTTCACAAATAATTTTATTTCATCTGTTTCTGAAAGTAGATATTACGGGAGAAATTTGGATTGTAAGGATGTACAATATAGAGAATCACACTCATATCCCAAATTCTAAACAGTTTTGATTAAGTATGACTGTTGCTCCAATTTCTTGATGTCGCGTACCCTGCGAAGCCCCTCTGTGGAGCCCCCCTGCAAAATGTTAGTCATTCTTGTAAATGGGAGCGCAAGGTTCTACCTTCAAAGAAATGTCTTGCGCACTTGTCTTGCTCTGGCTGCAGGGATGAGCCCCGACTTACTCCCAGGGTAGTTTATCTTGTCGTGGTCCGGGCTCAGCCTGGGAACTAGAACAAGGGGAGTTTACGGTGAGTCTTCCTTGCAGTCATGTCCAGGTTTAACAGAGTCGAGATTGCAGAGGGGCTAAGCATGGTTGATTTGGTCTCGGAGACGGGTTTGTGATACAAGTAGTTAATCAGTTAGCGGCATGTTTCTGGTGATGAAGGCAGCATGCACGCGGTCCATTTGGAATTTTTTATCATATTCGTTTCCGCCTTTTTAGGTAAAGATGCTGTTTGCAAATCATTGGAGACGAATGGGGACGTGAAGAAAATTGTATTAGAAAAAGCGGAGTATCATTGGAAAAACCTGGCAAGAGAGCTGGGGTTTATAAATGGAAGAATTGATGCGATATCTGAGGAAGAGAAAGATAACTGTGGAGAATGCTGTTATCAAGTTTTACGACAATGGTGCGAAGGGAAGGGCAAATCGGCGACGATCAGAAGAGTCATGGTGGCTCTGACTAAAATAGGATTAGCGGACATCAACAACGACATTGTAGATTGTCTTAATTTGAGACGTCAGGATCAAATGTAGTTAGACTCAGAGAACTGATAAAATAGGAAAAATTTAGCAAGCAATTGGTAACTTCAACGACGTGTCTTTGGACTTCATTCAGTGCACAATGTACCTTGTTACAAACGCAACGAAACAAGCAATCACGTGATGCTAAACATGTCATGGTCTGGAAAACATCATGCAAACACTCTTACGGACAATATCAAATTTGCATGATATGACCATGTAACTTTGTTATGCACACACATAGGTAGATTGTGTTGGTGGGTGTAAATGTGTTTTTGGTTTACCTCTGGCCCTCAGAAGGGCTAAAACAAATTAAAGCCAACGGGTTGATTTTGTTTACTTATGTAAAATAAGGTTCAGAAAAAAAGAATGACGACAAAGTATGCATATTTTTTTTCTTGAAAACGAAGCAAATTCAAATTATTAAGTGGATTTATTGATAAGTATAAACTTGTTTCAGTGATTTCCATAATTTGAACAATAACCTGTTAAGGTATAAAGTTGGGATTGGGATTTTTCGCTTTGAATTTGCATTGAGTCTAATTTGAACAATAATATGCATTTGGCAATTGCTCTAATTTGAAACAATAACATGCAATACGCAATAATTCTAACTTGAACAATAAGGTTTAATGTGCAATCACTCTCTCTTGAACAATAACGAGCCAGGTGCAATTGTTTTACTTTGAACAATAACGTACAATCTCCACTTGCTCTAACTTGAACAATAAGGTGCAATATACGATAACTCTTCCTTGAACAATAACATGGAATATCGTTTGTTTAATTTAATTTGAACACTAATGAGCAATACTCAATAGCTAGAACTTAACCAATAACATGTAGTATATCATTAGTTTAAATGGAACAATAACGTGCAACATGGAATTGTTCCAGCTTGAACAATAACGTGCCATGTAAGTGATTTTTAACATGTTTTTTTTTAAGGACATTTAATGAAGGTCTGACCCAAAATGTTTCAACAGCCATGTGGCTCTGTAACGATAGGATTTTTAGTGATTTTTAGTTATCGAGTTCTTTCATGCTTACGCTCAAAAAAATACAATATTCCACGTAGAAAGCTTAGATCAGCAAAGCGTAAACGCTACCAGTTCTCCTTCAGCCACCCGTAAACAGTTGTTATTAGTGTTAAACTGTAACAGCCACCTGTCATGTCCTTTTGTGTAACTGTTATCCACAGGAACTCTTTAAAGTAATTAATGTTGTAAAAGGCGAAATTCCTACTTAGCCAATAGTGTAGTAGGTTACATGATTCTTTGGATTATTTATGGCATTACGTTATCCATGTACGTTAGGTTTAAATAGGACTGTTCTGAAAAGCTTAGCAGTTAGGGTGAGAGAAGAAAGGAAAAGAGAAGAGAGAGAAGCACGGGGTCGAACCAGCCCTGGCCAGGTCCGTTCTGGTCAAAATTGTAGTAGAGCTTGCAGAATAAATCTACGTTGGAGCCAACCCTGTTGTTATTAGTCATTCTCTCAAGGATAGTCAGCAGCCGTAATAGATTCCGGTTACCTTCCCGCAGCCAGCGAGTGCCCCCAAGGAAAGCCTTTACCCACAAGAGTTTTTAAGAGTTGTCCCCGTCCGTCCGTTCATTTGTGAAGGCAAAACCCTGTTTTCACAGCTCATTAGTACTTCATCTACCACACAAAGTACAATTAATGGGGAAAAAAAGAGAAAATTCTCTCTAAATATGTTAGAATTAGTTTCTAATGATTGTCAAAATATAAGATGATGAATGTTTTAGTTCTTTTTTCACTCAGCTGGTAAGAACTAGCAAATGATCTTGCTTGCCTTGTCAGCAATCATCTTTTGGTTGCTAGGTTTAAGTAGAATATTTTCAATGATTTTTACATCTAGTTGAGACAGCAACAATTCCATGCACTTGGAAACATAGCAGACCAACTGTTATGTTTCTGAGTTGTCAATTTGTAGGATGAATCTCAAATAGTTTGTTTTCCTGTTCGAAGAGGTCAATACCTCAGTCAAAGAGTGGACGTAGCCTTGGAGGGCTGCAATGTTTGGAAAAAGTTACTGAGTATTAGGTAGGAAATAGTTATGATTATTTGAATTAATTAGTCTGTTTACAAATTGAACAGTGTACTAAAGTAGATTTTATGATGAAAAAAATCAAGAAATTGATTTAGATCATACACTGTATCACTCAGTTGATCTATAAACTTTCACGTGTATGCCATGGTCACATGACACTTCAGTCATAAACTTAGGTACTAGCATAAAATGGCTGCAAGAAATGAAAAGCGCAAGATAGAATTAGTGAGGTTGCCAATTTTGAGACCACTGATGCTTAAGCATAAAATTGAATAGAGGTTTGAAATTTTGAGGAATTTAGGGGATTTGTGTGCGCAAAAGTTGCTGGTTAGCAAGGCTTGCTCACAAGAAAATTTTTTTCCATCCAATTCCTCTAACTTTTTAAACTTGAAACCACTATAACATATCACCCTTAAACATCAGCAGTCTTGAAATTGGCAATCTTTCTAATTTCATCATGCTTTTTTCATTTCTGGCAACCAATCGTTGCTATTACCAGGTAAGGATTTATTTAATTAAAAATATTGCAACTTACTTAGGAATGTAGATCTTTTGATCTTCTCTCTGAAAGTAAATGAATAAGAGTATTGAAGATAATCAATAGTTTCTGGAGGAAGAAAAGTAGAGACAAGAGTTTATAACATGTTGTTAAAAATTGCTAGTAAAATAGCATTTCTCTAGTTTATAAATTTTTTTTGTTACAGTTGTGCAGAACTATTTCAAATGAATCTGTTTTTGTGTTATTTTGTTGAAAAGGTTAAGATAAAGAAATGAAAGCAGGTATATACTTACCTAGACTGAGACAGTTCTGTTTTCATCATAGTGTTTTTATTCTGAAAAAGCCAATAAAATTTCTTAGATAAAAAATCACAGTATTGTTGCATTGTCTGACTTCGCTAGTTAAACTGTAACTGGTCCTAACACCTCAATGTACTCTTGTCACATTTCCCTATAATAAGTATTTCAAACTAA